AAAATACAGATGATCGAAACTATTCTACTGATCGAGGTCATCTGCACCCTCATCATCTTCATCCTCTTCGGCCTCTTCCTCAATTGCCTGAACAGTCTCCATCCCCAAAGCCCGCCTACATTTGGCTAGTTGGACCTTCAAGGCGTTCAGGTGACCAAGGTGCAGACCAGGGAAATCGGACAGCTGCACTGGCCGGCCTAATTGTTTCTCTAGGAGGGGGAGAAGCGGCTACAACATGTGCTAGCACCCGGAGCCATAGACCTCCCGGGCGAGGGTTTTGGCAAACCCTTTGGTAACCGAATGCTGATCAAGCATCCTCACCCCCTCCTTTTGGCGCTCTTCGCCAGTCAGCTTGGCTAGGTGCCGCCCGAAGACATTGGGAAGCTGTTCAAAGGCATATTGTTCCTTCAGGGCCAGGAATTCTTCAGATTCCTTGAAGCTCTCCCGGACGGCGGAAAGATCAATAATCATTTCAGCAAGGCCGTCCGGGATCTGTGAGGGTGCCTCTTGGAACTGGACCTGAGCGGCCTCAGTTGCTGCAATCTTGGCCTGGAGGGAGGCCACCTTGATGCGAAGCTCCCCAACTTCGGCCTTCGTCCTCTTCCGCTCCTCGGCGAATGCCAGCCGTTCGGTCTCAGCTGCCTGGATGGCAGAGGAAGAAGCCTTCTCAGCATTCTCCTTGGCCACGAGCAGGTCTCTCTCCTTGGCCAGCCGGGCCTCGCGAAGCTTCAAACTATATATCCCCACCTGCACACGGTCAATCAGAGATAATAAGGTGAACGCGCGATCAGAAAATGAAACATGGAAAAGAAACTGAGGTGATAAATTACCTTGAGGGCAGCCAAGGCTATGCACTCCTCGGCTTCCTCGGCCGGGAGTTGGGGAAGGGCGAAGTCGTTGAGATCAACGGAGGTAGACCAAATCCGGCTTGCCAGACAACCCCCCCCCCCCCCCCCCCCGCTCCAACATATGATGAGCAGGATCCTGGAGGGAAATCCGCTGGAACTGCCTGGCCAGGTCAGATTGGTGAGCAGCCATTTCATCAGCAGAAAACTGGTTAGGTTGCTGATCAGAGAAGAACTGATCCATTAACAAATCAGCATGGGAAGGTTGCTGACCAGGAGCAACCTACTGAACGGGGCTGCACCTCCTGAACGGACTCAGGTTGCTCGGAAGATGGCGGAGCAGCTTGAGAAGAAGTTGCCGGGTCGGCCTTCCTCAACCTCTTACGTTTATTTTTCTTCTGCTGGGCAGGAAGAGAGACCTGCGGCTCATCATCCACTCCAACTGAAAACAGCCTGCTGTCATCCATAGTTATTGGCTACTGGTTGGCTCCTTCGGACTCCAAAGATTCGTCTGAGTTGAGAACTAAAACAGACAAAGAAAAAAACAAATTAGTACCGAGCGACTCCAACATGTGTGAAACAAAGGATGGAAGTGTTCCCGCACAGGATGGACCGCCCGGGCCATGGTACTTGTCAATATCAAGTAAACCCAGGAATTCGGGCAGTACTTATCCTGGCCTTGGCAAGCTGTTCGGGGGTCAGGTAATCCATTATGTCATAAACCTTCCCCTTTTCTATTGCCACCACATCCTCACCCATTTCCTCAGAAATAAAGGGTTCAGAAGATTTTCTGGGAAAGGCATTCCACTTCGTGGGAATCAGACCCTCCGGCACGGAAACGAAGAAAAACCGGTCTTTCCATCCCTTGATTGACGAGGGAAAACCGGAAAACAGTATATGCCCCGTTCGGGCACTGGCTACCAGATAACCCTCCGCCTATTGAGGGATAACTGTGTAGAAGTAGTGAAAAGGTCTAAGGTGGGAGTCGCCCCGACATCCGAATAGCGACTGATGAAATCGGCCATAGCCCGGTAGGAGTTTGGCATAATTTGGGCCGGCACCACTTCATAAAAATTTAAAAGAGAGACAAAAAAGGGGTGAAGTGGGAATCTAAGCCCAGCCTTCACCGAATCAAAATGGACCACCACCATCCCCGGAAGATGACACAGTGGATGAAGCCCAGATTGAAGGCGGAAATTAACCGGGTCCGGGATCAAGAGAGGGATTAAGGCCCTATTCGGGCCTGTGAGCTTTTGTCGTCGAAACCTAATTAGGTTTAAATCGATCCAATGGCGTGGGACATCCCCTGAAGGGCCGGCTTCCATAAGTTCAAGTTCATCCTCTGACGTGGTACCATCCGGGTATGTACTAGGTGAAGAGGCATTGTCGCCGTGAGTACCGCCGATGACCTCCACATTGGCATTTACCATCTCTGGTACTTCTGCTTGAGCCTTTTGTGAGGAAGTTGCCTCGAGGGTGGACTTACTGGAACGCGGTCGAGGAGCCATGATTGCCGAACAAGAAAGGAAAGGGAAGGAAAAAGGAAAAAGGGTACCTAAACAAGAACAACTGAAAAGCTCTAGAGAGAAGGCAGAGCAATAGGCCAGAGATGCAAGGTTTCGAAACCCAGAATCAAAGCCGGAAAAGCCTATTTATACTCTGTCACACCGAATCGTTGGCCAATCATGGAGATACACGTCGCCAGTAATGATGACTGGGACACGTGTCACGCGGAGAATCCTCCCCAAGTAATCATGACGGTTATCGGGGAATTAAAACGGCAGCCGCAGAAAACCGTCAAGATATGCCTCGGGAACTGGCGGAATACCATCCAATACGTACCCGAACAGCATTCACTATGGTTTGGGTAGTTCACTCACTACCGTTCGAGACATAGGAAGTGGGGGACTAGTGTTGGGATATTGGGTCCAAGCCAAATATCCCCGGCCCGAAGTATGAGGAATCCAGAAGGAAACATAAGGCCCAAAGCAGACCAGACCCGTTCGGCATTCGGCACAATTCTTCTACTTGGAGCATTTCAGGAAAACACTGACTCCTAAAACAACAATGGCGGGGTCCCGCACACCGAACGCGCCACCCGAACGGGTAGTCAGCAAGTGGAGGCCGCATTTAATGCAAAAGCATGGCGGCAGCAAGTGGGGGCATGGGTGCCTACGTGGCAGGGGTGGCAGCCTACCGGATTCAGCCACGTGTCCAGCTTACCCATCCCCATTTTAGTATAAATACCTGCATTAAGATCATTGTAAAGGGTTAGCATTTTGATACTCAGAGCTTAGCAAGTAGAAACACTTCTCTTATTCTTGTATTCTTGTACTTACCTACCGTTCGGGTAGTTCAGTGTAATTGCAGCATTATTGAATACGAGTTAGCTCCTGAGTTAAACAATCTTTCATTGTTTTATAGTTTATACACTTTCTAAACCAACCCAACATCCTTACAATATCCAAAGCTTGTGTTGGGCTTTCGGATCTTCGGGAATAAACCTCAAAAAACTTTTACTTTCATAGATCAGATAAAAAATTGATTCCAATTAGATAGGTGAACACAAATTTGAGATAACATTAAGGCAAATATGTATTTAGCAAATTTAACATGCAATCTTATTTTTTACCCAGATATAAAATATTTTATCTTTTTCAGTTTTATTATATGTAAGAAAAGTATTTAATGGTGTCGCTTCTGCTCCATGCATGACATCTAAAGAGCACGGGTTACCGGAGAAAGATGCTAATATATCTAATTCAATAGTCATAGCACCAGGTGTTTATGTAAAAAATATTGCGTAACATTTTTGGACATCAACGGTACCGCTATACGGTGATATGAGACACTCGGCTTTATAGATGTCATATTTGCTGCTTCAACCAAAGAAATGATGAAGTGAAAAAGTGAATATGTGGATATGAGCGTCTTTCAAATAAAAAATAAAGAAAGTAACAAATACAAATCTTAAGCACAATCTAAAAGACATAACATAATTGTGTAAATCAACCGGTAAATAAATGCTAGCATTACTATGGGCTCATCGAAAACGTTATCTAGTACATTGAAATTTAAAGCACTTTTACTTCCCACAAGGGCACAATCAGGATTTTCCACTAAGCCAATGCCCTCGAGAAATCGTATTGCCGAGATGGTTAGAGAAAAATAAGGATCGAGGTATTCTAAACGGTACTCGAATGTTATTTACGCTAAAATTACAACCAAAGTTGACATATTTAATAGATTCGAAGTCTTTCAAAATTACGCCCTTAGTCTATTAAAAAAAATTCCAAGTTGACCGACATGGAAAAAGAAATAACAGGAACCGTAAATTAATTGATTATTATGAAACTGACAAATTTATTGGGACAATAAAAAAGTTACAACACTTCAATTTTTTTTTGAAATTGCTAATTTTGTATTTTGTATTTTCTATATGCAAAATTAGTGTCACATGAAAGATAATAAAAAGTTATAAATTTTGAAATATTTTTTGTAACAATTCGAGTACAAATAAAAAAGTTACAATAGTTTAAAATCTAGAGTGGATTTTTATTAGGTGGGACCCATTATTCGATTCATCTACTGGCTGTGCTTATTCCATCTTTTGGCTAATTGGCTGTGCGTGATTCTTTGCGTCGATTGTATGCATGGCGGTATGCTTAGGCAGCCACAGAGGGGGTTTTGTTAATCATGGTTTATTCCAATATTATTTTGATAATTATTCTCAACATAATACTTTCTCCGTATTTTAAAGTTTGTTACATTTTTCTTTTTCGGATGTATTTAAAAGTTTTTTGTACTTTTCCTTTTTGTACGTTTTTCTTTTAAAAATATTTAATTACCCTTACTTTTTTTACCTTTTATCTTCTCTTTCATACTTTTTCACCATTTCTCCTACTTTTTTCTACACTATTCATCACTCCTACTATTTCACCTTTAAATGTTGTGCCCAACCCTATTTTAGAGAACAAAAAAATAAGAAGAAAGTAGTATTTTGAGATTTATTTATTTAATTAGCACTATTCTCGTAAAAAAACTCCTAATCTTAGAGCTAAAAACCCCTTTCTCACTTTACCAATAGTATTTAAATTAAATTTATTTACATAAATTTAATTTATTCTTGAAACTGGGCTACTGTTACTCTGTTAGCTCTTAGACGCGTATATCAGCACCGAGATGGGAATGCAAGCCCAGGCGGCATCCATTGATTTCCTGAGCATTCAGACTCAATTGGATGATGAGGAGCCACTGCTACTCACCGGCGATGTCAAGACCGGTCTTGTGCTCATGGACGTCGTCAACGGATTTTGCACAGTCGGAGCCGGCAACCTGGTAAAGCATTATATACGCATATTCCTCTGCCCCAAATGCTATTGGTGCTTATTTTTCATGATTTTGGCTTTTCATTTTATTTGAGAGCAGAACCTTCATCATGTACCCAAATACTACCTCCCCTCTCATAATGGTCTTCGGAACACCCCATCTCTTTATTAATGATATGAAAAAAAACATGAGTAGGAGGACTAGACCAAAGCCCAGGCCTGCCAAGGCCTACTCTAATTTAAATAAAAATGGATAACTAATAGCATCAAACTTAAGGATTCCAACAAAATGTTTAAAATGATGATTGTTTAGTATTTGGATTCAAACTTTAGTTTTTTTTTTAATATATAGCTTGTGATGAACATCAGTTGACTCTTAAAATGTTAATATATTGGTGCATGTCATATATTTTAATTACAAATGATGGTGTTTTTGTATAATACGCTTTTGTTAGTTTGGGACGTCCCGAACTGTTCCAAATCACCCCGGTTTCTATTTAAATGGGACAAGACTAGGACAAAGGCTTGTCCCGTACCATTATTATTAATTGGGTTGGGACTGGTATAACCCTAATCCCGAATTGTCCCGACCGGTGCCCACCCCTTATTATTATGCTTTGGTAGTTACACTTATACAGTTATATACTTATATGCAGTGAAGCTATACATGCATACGTTCATAATGCATAGCTTATCTCGAGTTGCAGGAACAAATGAACTATAATTCGTGAAAAATATTGTCTATAAAAAAATTGTTACGTTGAACAACAATTCGTTTTATTTTCTGCACTTTTTTATTTGTTGGAATGCTTTAATGTTTCTTCTTTAGTATTCATTACTTGGAAATTATTCTATAATTTCGTGTTTGTGTGAATGCTTTGTTCACTAGGCTCCACAAAAACATGATGAACAAATAGCTGGAATGGTGGATGAATCAGTGAAGCTTGCTAAAGTGTTCTGTGAAAAGAAATGGCCGATTTATGCTTTCCTTGACAGTCATCATCCCAACATCCCTGAGCACCCATATCCTCCTCACTGCATAATTGGAACTGATGAGGCGGAATTGGTTTCTGGTAAACTCTATCTGCCGATTTGTTTGACCACTCCACATTGTTGCTAAATTTGAGTTTCCTTTGAGTCTCATTTGGTATGCCAGGAAAATGCTAGGGGAAGAAAAAAGGGTTTAAAATACATTAGGAATTTAGCTGGAAAGAAAATGTTGATGTATATAAAGATTAAAGCATTGCTTCAAACTCAATAAATTTATTTAATTATTCACTTTTCACTTTTCTTTGCATTTCTGGAGGTAAATCCAAACATTAGAAAATATCTTTCCTTGGCATTTTATTTACTTTCCCTAGCATTTCTTGGGATCCAAATACAGCCTTAATATATCTGTTTTCAAACAATGTGCAGCTCTCAAGTGGCTGGAGAATGAACCTAATGTGACGATTAGGCGTAAGGATTGTATTGATGGATTCGTCGGTTCTCTTGAAAGTGATGGCTCCAATATATTTGTAAATTGGGTGAAAAGCAATGAGATCAAAGCTGTGAGTATTTTTTGTGCACCTGAAAGAGGGATATGTTTTATGTCCAATTGCTTATTCATTGATGTGCAATATTTCTGACTTGTACTTATTATCAAGATATTGGTCGTGGGAATATGCACAGACATATGTGTTCTAGATTTTGTCTCTTCAGCGTTATCTGCAAGAAATCATAGGGTTCTCTCCCCGTTGAAAGATGTGATAGTGTATTCACGTGGCTGTGCTACTTATGATCTTCCAGTTCATGTTGCTAAAAACGTCAAAGGGGCCTTGGCTCATCCCCAGGTAAGCTAAGCTTAGCTCAAGAGTTGGAAAAGGGGGGAATTGGAGCTTGCACCCCACCTTTTCATCTAAATTTGAATTTGCACCCCAATTTATTTAAATGACAATATCACATCCCAAATCTCCAAGTTTGCACCCCTTGTTAGTACTGAATTAGAGTTTGTACTCCATTATTATCAGATTTTTATTACTTAGGGGTGCAAGTATTAATGATTTAAAAATTGGGGTGCAAACTCAAGTTTAGATGAAAAAGTGGGGGTCTTAACTCCAATTTAAGTACCTCTGACCCAAACCTAGACAAATTCAGGACATTGGTTCTGTATCCCAAATTCTCAATCCTTAGCTAATATTCCTCACTTCCTAGAGAGAAAACTGGTTTAAAGGAAAGTCACTTATTGTCCTTCAGCTGGTACCCATATTGAACTATAGTCCCTCCTCTTCTATTATGTAAATGTCACCCCTCAATTGTCTAAGATGTTATAAATTCTTCCCTCGACGTTCTAAAAAAAGTAGCACTTTCGGTCTCTTGGTTAATAACGTCGAGAACGACATTTACATCATTTTAGACAATAGACTGATGCTATTTACAAAATTGAAGAGACGTCAACTACATTTAAATATGGGTATAAACTGAGAGCCAAAAGTGGGGTTTTCCTTTTTTTATTTTATTTAACAAAGCAATGCTTCCCTAAACTTAGTTATGCAATGTAGGAGTTGATGCATCACATAGGGCTATACATGGCAAAGGGAAGGGGAGCAAAGATAGTTTCACAAGTCTCACTTGGGACTCCACATTAAACCTGATCATCAGTTTTTCAGGAATTCAGTTTCGTATAATTGAAGAGGGATACTTCTCCTTCTGCACAGATGTTTTAACACCTGTTTTGTTGTCCCTATCAATCTAGCATAAGATGTATACACACATACTCCATTATGTTTCCTTAATATTTGGAGAATTGCTACTCATTAAAGTTACTGTCTAACAATATGAGATCTCAAATTTACTATCTTAATGTTGGTTAAGATACTCTTCATATTATTTGAACATCCAAGCATAACGAGAATTGAAAAGCGGATCTCTTATTGGTCAAGTCTGTGTAACTATCATGGAAGTGTGAAGCGTTAGGAATGCAAAATGTGAAAAATGTTACCTACTCTCACTACAGAAAAACTTTACATGACTTGTAATTTGAGTATCCAATTCTGTTGAAAAGTGTGAAAAAGAAAAGGAAAAAGATCAAGAAAGAAACAAATGGTTGCCTTCTATATACATATATATTTATAAAATGTGAGGCTATATGAGGAGAATGCGTTTGAATGCCAAATTGAACTTAAAGATCTACAACAGCTCTCAAGACCTGGTACTTTTTGTTGGGGTGAATGCATGAAAAAACTGATTTCTTTTGTTTCTTTGGTTTGTTCCCAAAAATGAATGATCCTAGAGGAATTTTAGATCGACTTGATGAATGTTTCAGTTGTGAGTTTCCGCTAGAAAGCCCAAATTCATGACCCAACTTCTTGAGTGTCTTCTCAACCTCCAGTTGAAGTATGGTGACATGATCCACACCTGTTTGCAGTTCCTCTCTGACCTTGTTGTTTTCTTGCTTCATGTTCAGGACCTCACCTTGGAACTTGGCTGCTTGATGACTGCTGAATTGGATTTCTTCGCCTTCCACTCCTTCCCTTAGGGCTCTTGTGATTTCCTCCTGAATGTGACACAAAGACGAAAACCTGCCTTTCAGCTCATCCTTTAGCAACACACTTTGGTCTAACCACACTGTCAGCTCAGTGTGTATCTCCCTAAGGTGTTTGAATATGGGCCGAACCTCCGATCTTAGATCTTGTGAGTGACCACTGCCTTCTGCAGTTTTCTTTTCTTTGACTTTGGATAACTCATGCTGCAAGTCTTGTACAGTAGTCTTGAATTTTTGTATCTGATGAAATGAAGAGCTGAACCTTAACCAGAAATCCAGATTTTCATCTAGAATTGCATCAATTTCCACGCGGAGCTTTTCTTCAACAGGGGAGATGTGAGCAGGTTTGTTCATCAAGGCTGGCAATATGAAACAATCTTCACCATCTTTTGTCAGAGGAGGACTCTCTATATCTTCTTGCCTTCCTTTTGAGGAATCGAGGTTTGATTCTGGTTCTTCCTTTGGTTCTTGTTTTCCAGGACAATCTGCTGAAAAAGAAATGTTCGCTCTCTGATGTAACTGTTGAATCTCCTCATCCCTTTTTGCGATTGCACTTTTTAATTCACTTATTTGCAAAGTGAATTCAAACTCGTTGTCTCTGTCCTTCTTCTCCATTTCTGCCAACTTCTTTTTGAGATCTTTGTAATTCCTAAGTACTGTTGTATACTCTTTTAGTATAAATTTTTCTTTGTCTCCCATCCCAGTTAACATCTCGTGCCAATTTTGCTCTTCATCCATATCCAAATTTATTTTCTGCTCATTTTTGGAACCCCTATCTTCAGATTGAGGTGAAGTACTTGTCTCAACCAGCATTCTATCCACAGGCGACAAGTGTTCACTCTGTGAGTTTTTACCTTCCTCATCTTTTTTAGTAACAGCTGCGTTGGAATCTCCCTCAACTTCCTCTTCCCCTTCTTTTCTTTCACTCTTGGTGGAGGGTAAGGCACATTCGGCGGAACCTTCTATAAGGTCTGTTTTCTTTACAATGTTTTGATCTGGTTGAAACCCCTCAACAACAGATTCTGTTTCACTCTGTGGTGAATATGTATCCCCGTCCTCGTCCTCATCCTCGTCCTCCTCGTCTGGTTTCACATTATTTAGTTTCTCAGACAAATGGCTTAAATTATCACATGCCACATCAATGTGTTTCCTAAGCCTGCTGCTATGATTTTCAAGGTTTTGGTTTAGGCTCTGAATGTCCCTCCACTTGTTCTCTATTTCTTTAACATGGTGATTTTCTTTGGAAGTGGTTTCTGTATTGTTGTCTCCCTCCAACCTTCGGACAGTTGCTTGAAAATCATTGGCTTTCTCTCTCAATCTGTCAACTGTGAGTGTTTGGGTAGAAACTATGTTTTCTAGGTCTACCACTTTGTTCACAAGCTCATCAATCTTCTCAACTAGTTCAGTGACAGTCAAGGCTCCTGTGGGGTCCCCATGATCAAGCTGTTCTTCCTTGATTGATTCTTGACCAGAGTTTACTGATATGGAAGTGAGTTTATCACTTTCCTTCATTTCATCACTGTCAGTTTTGAGCGATCTCAGCCGCATGCGAGCATAAAAGTCTTTAACCTTCATGTATTCTTTTTCTGCATCCTGTGACACTCTCTCGTGCTTCTCCCGCAATTGGGCCAAGGTCTCACGGCACGATTTCAGGGCGGTTTCGGCCATTAACGTGCGTGCTACGTCATCTTCAATAGCCGTCCTCACATCAAACTCGTCCTGCAAAGTGCAAACCCTCTGCTGCATCTCTGAGATCTGGTCCTCAATTCCCCTGCACTTGGCCAGTCCAGTCTGGTACGAGCTCTTCACAAACTCTTTAGTGGTTTGTAGCTTTAGTATCTCCTTCTGAAGTTTGTCAATCTCTTCAGTGGCTTGTGTGATGGTGAGCCCAGACTTGGGAGGAGCTTTCTTCACAACCTCCAGTGCCGCTGCTGGTGGCTTCTTTGGCTGAAGCTTGTTTGGGACAGTGGCTGTTGTTATGAACACCTTCAGTTTCTTGCTTGGAGCCTTGGGTATGTTTTTGGCATTTTGGCGTGGGAAGGGCTTGCGCGGTTTCGGAGAGCAATATTCCTCATCTTCGTCCATCTCTAGCTGGAACTGTTCAGGACAGAGAGTGGCGAGCGTATGGTTTGCGTTCTGCAAATCCTTGGATAACTTGTCATACCTCTCTGCCAGTGATCTAAAACCTCTGTAAGATTCTTCCACAAAGTTTATAAGCTCTGGCCTTCTCTTGTAATACATTTCTGCTCTTTTTGCGAATGAATCCCCATCTTCTTGAATCAAAACAAGCATGTGATGGACCTTTTCTTCCATATCTGCATTAGTTATACTATCATAAGACCTGGTTGTCATGCTCTTTATAAATACTAGTTATACTTTTATCATAGTTGTTAAATCAAACATTACTACTATTCAAAATTCAATTTTAATATTATAGATATTTCCAAGCCCCAAATATAGGGTCTAGATCTGCTACTTCAGGTACCCATCGCCCCTAGGCCTATGTAAAGTTAAATATAGCTAAAACTTGATTCTAGAGCCAGTATAAAGATTTTTTAGAGGAACATTTACACATGAAGTTTTACACTAAAAATGCAAACAACTTCAAATTTGGGATGGATCAGGGCCTGGTTGACCCCCCTCTATCTCCACCCCAGCCCGTGAAATCGCCTCAAGGCCTAAGTGGAGTTATATTGAGTTTGTCTTGCATTGAAGAAACACGTCCCACGCCCTAGCACAACTACGAGTGCCACCCCAGAAATCCTAACCCCAAAGGGAATAAGTAGGTATAAGAACATTCACCCTTCAGAATCTTTAGTGTGACATCTCGCCTACTAGATTAGTGCCATGGGGGTGTAAATTATGTGATTCACACTAATGTCTAATGTGGATTTGGATCCTCTGCCGCACGGCAGAGGTGCCTTGCGCAATTGAACAACAACAGGAGAGGAGAGCTTTGGGGAGGGGGATGGCAGATCACGTGACTCTAATAGCCACGCACCCTACTTGGCTGCTAAAGCCAGGTAGAGAATCGAGATCCGTCCAATGTACAAAGTAGTTAGAGGATCCCAATGTTGAATTTAGTTTATATAAAAAGGGAAAATAACTTTAAATAATACCAACTATTTGTCATAAACCAATAATAATATATACTTTAGAAATAGTTTCTAATAATAAGAGCTATTTGAATGTACACAATAACAACATCCAAAGCCTTGGTCCCAAAAGATTTTGGGGTCGGCTAACATGAATCGATACATGATATCAACACCAAAAGGAAAAGAAAGAAAAGAAAGATAAAAAGACAAGCTATGATAATAAAAAGATAATATAAAAAGAGATAGATATATATATAAAAGAGAATAAAAGCGATAAAAAAGAAAATTTATATATATAAAGAAAAAAAAAATAAAAAACAAGAAAAAGAAGATGAGGGGAAAACGATAATAAGAGATCACTCCACCATATGAATGTCCGCCCTCCACTTTGCTCTCTCCAAATTCATACTCTCATCCAACCCAAGAAGAAGCATATCATTTTTGACTCCTCTAATCCATGTCTGCTTGGGTCTTTCTCTCCCTCTCTCCTCCGTCTCTTCTCCACACATTTCAACTCATCTGACAGGTGCATCACTCGATCTTCTACTCACATGACCAAACCAGCGCATGCAAGACTCCCACATCTTATCACATTTGAATATACATCAAAAAAATTATGGAGCTCTTTTTACTACACATCCAAACATTTATCTCATCAAAATCATAATATTGAACAATCAAATATGTAGTAAAAGGTATCTTGACATGGGGTCACTTATTTGATATTACGATATAATTTTGATGAGTAAATTGGTCGAATTTCTAGTAGAAAAGTGGTGATATATCACTTCTATATATTCAAATAAATGGTATTACTAAAAGTTATTTCCAAAGTAATATGTATGCATTATTATTGATTTATGGGTGATAGTTGATACAGTATTATTTAAAGTTATTTTCCCTATATAAAAATAATCACATTTTTTTGGAAAAATATAATAATCACATATTGAAAAATGGTATATGTTTATTTAGATGAAGTTTAATACGAAGTATATTGCATCTATTTATGAAAAATGTGCAAGTATAATGTTGTGTCTTGTTATAAATTATTTATGTTGTAGATGGCGAGATTACAATGTAAACATTGTAATTAATAGTGACATTACAATGTAAACATTGTTATTAATGTTGGAAGTACATGTGACTAATGTGAAGATGTAATATTGTTTGGGGCTAAGTATTATATGTTGGTGTAAATGTCGTTTTAGATGTCATAAATACATGTGACAATGTGTGACTATAACACTGTTATTTTTTATTTAAAAGAG